GTTATCGTCGTCCTCCTCATCGTTATCGTCCTCATCCTCCTCGTCCTCCGCCTCCGTCTCCTCCTTCTCCTCCTCCTCTTCATTCTCCTCGTCCTCCTCCTCATCCTCCTCCTCCTCCACCTTCTCCTCATCCGCCTCCTCCTCCGCCTCCTCCTCCCCCTCCTCCCCTTCATCTGCCTCCTCCTCCTCGCCCTCCTCCTCATCATCATCATCCTCATTCCCCCTCCCTTCTATTCAAATCGCCCTCCCCCTCCTCATCCTCCTCTTCCGCGTCTGCCTCCTCCTCATCATCCGCGTCCTCCTCCTCCTCGTCCTCCTCCTCGTCCTCCTCCTCCGCCTCGTCCTCATCCTATTCGTCCGCCTCCTCCTCCGCCTCCTCCCCCTCCTCCTCCTCCTCCTCCTCCTCCTCCTCCTCCTCTCCTCCTCCTCCTCCTCCTCCTCCTCCTCTCCTCTCCTCCTCTTCATCCACCTCCTCCCCCCTCTCTTCTAATCAATCGTCATCCTCGTACTCCTCCTCCCTCTCTCCTTCCTCCTCTCCTCCCTCCTCCTCCTCCCCCTCCTGCTCCTGCTGATCCTCCTCCTTCCCCCCTCCTCTCCTCCGCTTCTCCTCCTCCTCCTCTTCCTCCTCCTCCTGCTCCTCCTCCTCCTCCTGCTCCTCCCCCCCCGCTCCCCCCTACGCGTCCTGCTCCGCTCCTCCTCCTCTCCTCCTCTCCTCCTCCAACGCCTCCTCCTCCTCCTCCTCCTTCGCCTCCTCCCCCCCCTCGCCCTGGCTCCCCATCCCCCTCTCCAGCATCATCTCTTCAATCCCCATTATCCGTCTCTGGTTTCTCCTCCTCCTCCTCCTCCTCGTATTCCTCCTCCCGCGGTTCTGATATAATCGTCTTCCGCCTCCTCCTCCTCCGTCTTCTCCTCTCTCCTGCCGTCTAGTGTACCCTTCGCCCTTCTAGTGAAATCGCACTCCTCGTCCTCCTCCTTCTCCTCCTCCTGCTCCTCCTCCTCCTCATCCTCCTCCCCCTCATCCTCATCCTCCCTTCCTCCTCCTCCTTCTCATCCGCCTCTTCTTCTCTTTCCTCCTCCTTCGCCGCCTCCTCCTCCCCTCCCTCCCCCTCAGTATCCTCCTCCTTCTCCTCCTGCTACTCTTCATCCGCTGCATCCTTCTCTTCCCGGTTCCGCATCCTCGTTATCCGTCTCCCCCTTATTCAAACTCAAACGCATCCTCCTCCTCCTTCTCCTCCTCATCATCATCAGCAGCAGCAGCAGCAGCATCGTCAGCATCTTCCTTCTCCTCCTCCTCCTCTTTCTCCACAACCTCCTACCTTTCTTCTAATGAGATCGTCGTTGTCGTCCTCCTCCTCATCCTCCTCCTCGTCCTCCTCCTCCGCGTGCTCCTCCTCCTCTGTTTCCTCCTCCTCCGCCTCGTCCTCCTCCGCCTCCTCCTCCTCCCCCTCCCCCTCTTGAACATCTTCCTCGTCCTCGGCTTCGCCCCCCCGTCTAATTAAATCGGCATCTTCGTCGTCCTCGTCCTCCTCATCCTCACCCTCATCTTCATCCTCATCATCAGAATCCCCCCTCTTCCATTGAAGTCGATCTTCTCCTCCTCATCATCATCACCATCATCAGCATCATCAGCATCATCGTTCTCCTTCTCATCCTCCTCGTCCTCCTCCTCCTCCTCGTCCTCCCACTCTCTCCCAATTGAATTATCATCCTCCTCCCCCTCGTTCTCCTCCTCCTCCTTTTCATTATCCTCCTCTTCCTGTTTCTCCTGCTCCTCCTCATTCTCCTCCTCCTCCGCCTCCTCCTCCTCCTCCTCCTCCTCGTCCTCCCCCCCTCGTTTCTAATAGAGTCGTCCTCCTCATCGTCCTCCTCCTTTCCCTCCACCCTCTTTAAAGTATAGGCTGATCCTTCCATTGAAACGGTTATCATTGTCTTCCTCCTCCTCTTCCTCCTCCTCCTCCTCGTCCTCCTCCTCACTCTCGTCTATTTAGGCCGTCGGCCTCCTCCTCCTCCTAGACCCCCTCCTCCGCGTCCTCCTCCTCCTCCTCCTCATCCTCCTGTTCATCCTCCTCCTCTTCCTCCTCCTCCTCTTCCTCCTCCTCGTCCTCCTCCTCCTCCTCCCCTTGCTCCTCCTCCTCCGCCTCCTCTTTCTCTTCCTTCTCCTCCTCCTCCTTCTTCTCCTCCTCCTCCTCCGCCTCCTCCTCCGCCTCCTTCTCCTCCTCCCCCCCTCTGTTCTAATAACATCGTTCTCCCCCTCCACATCCTCCTTATCGTCGTCCTCCCTCTCGTCATTCTCCTCCTCATCTTCCTCCTCCTCATCCTGCTCCTCCTCCTCCTCCTCGTTTTCCTCCTCCTCCTCCTCCTCCTCCTCGTCGTCCTCCTCCTCCTCCCTCCATGTTTCTAATCGAATCGTCGTCCTCCTCCATCTCCTCGTCCTCGTCCTCCTCCTCATCCTCCTCCTCGTTCTCCTTCTCCGTGTTCTCCTCCTCCTCGTCCCTCTCTTCTAATTATCTCGTTCTCCTCATCCTCTTCCTCCTCCTCCTCCTCCTCCTCCACCTCCTCCTCCTTCTCCTCCTCCTCCCTCTCTTCCATTGAATTCAATATCATCCTCCACCTTCATCTCTCTGACTCTCTCCTTTCTTCTAATTAACACGACCTCCTCCTCGTTCCTCCTCCTCGTCATTACCCTTCTCTTTTCCTCTTCTGCTTCGTCCTCCTCCTCCTCTCCTCCTCCTCCTCCTCCTCCTCCTCCTCCTCCTCCTCCTCCTCCTCCTCCTCTCCCTCCCTCTCTACGAATATAACCGTGCTCCTGGTTCTCCTCCTCCTTCTCCTCCTCCCTCCCTTCTAGTTAAATGTTTGCTGTTGTCCTCTTCCTCCTCCTCCGCCTCGTCCTCCTTCTCCTCCACATCGTACTCCTCCTCCTCCTCCGCCTCAACCTCCTCATCCCTGAAATCGTCCTCCTTCTCCTCCTCGCCCTCCTGCTCCTCCTCCTCCTCCTTCTCCTTCCCCTCCTCCTCCTCCTCCTCCTCCTCCTCCTGCTCATTCTCCTTCTCCTTCTCCTCTTTCTCCTCCTTCTCCTCCTCATCCTCCTCCTTTCCTCTTAGTTGAATCGCTATCCTCCTCATCCTGCTTCTCCTCCTCCTCGCCCTCCTGCTCCCTTCATCATTCCGCTTCCCCTTCTCCCTCTCTTCTGGTTGAATCGACCCCTTCCGCCTCCTTTTCCTCCTCCTCCTCCTCCTCCTCCTCCTCCTCCTGCTCCTTCTTCTCCGCTTCCTCTTCCTCCTCCTGCTTCTCCTCCTCCGCCTTCCTTTCCTTCGTTTCTAATAGAATCGTCCTCATCCCGGTCCTCCTCCTCCTTCTCCTCTCCGGTTCTTCCTCCCTTTCTTCTAGTCACAGCTTCGTCCTTCTCCTCCTCCTCGTCCTCCTCCTTCTCCTCCTCCTCCTGCTCCTCCTCCTCCCCCTCTTTTAATTAAACCGTTATCATCCTCATTCTGCTTCTCCTCCTCCTTCTCCTCCCTCTCGTCCATTGAGATCGATATCCTCCTCCTCCTCCTCCTCCTGCTCCTCCTCGTCCTCCTTCTTCTTTTCTAATTAAATCGTCCTCCTCCTCCTCGTCCTCTCCCTCTTGCTCCTCCTCCTCATCCTCCTCCTTTTTTTCCTACTGCTGCTTTTCCTCCTCCTCCTCCTCCTGCTCCTCCTCCTCCTCCTCCTCACATCTCATCATCATCATCCTGCCCCTCCTCCTTCCTTTTCCTTCCCTCCTCCTCCCTCCTCCTCCTTCCTTTCTAGTTCCATCTTCGTCCTCCTCCTTCTCATCCACCTCCTCCTCCTCCTCGTCCTCCTCCTCGTCCTCCTCCTCGTCGTCCCCGCTTCCGCTCTTCCTCCTCTCCTCCGTTAACCGCCTCCTCCGCTCCTCCTCTCCTCGTCCTCCTCCTCCTCCTCCTCTCCTCTCCCTCCTCCTCCTCCTCCCTTTCCCCCCGTTTCTAATTAATCGTCGTCCTCCTCCTCCTCCTCCTCCCCTCCTCCTCCTCTCCTCCTCCTCCTCCTCCTCCTCCTCCTCTCCTCCTCCTTCCTCCTCCTCCTCCTCCTCCTCTTCCTCCTTGTCCTCCTCCTCCTCCTCTCCTCCTCCTCCTCCTCCTCCTTCCTCCTCCTCCTCCTCCTCCTCCTCCTCCTCTCCTCCTCCCCCTCCTCCACCACCTCCTCCTCCTCCTCCTGCTCCAGCCCCTCCAGGCGCCTTCGGTGCGTTCGTACGCGGCGGTGGCCTCGGGGGCGAGGCCCGCCGCGCCGCGCGGCGGGCGGCCCCGGCAGGAGGCCGGGGCGCCGGCCGCAGAGGAGGCGCCGCCTGGCCGGGAGCCGCAGGGGCGGCAGCGGCAGGGGGGCCCGCGGCAGCCGCAGGCCCAGACCTCCAGCCCAGACATGATCGCGTCGTAAAAAATTCAGGGCGAAGGTTTTTCACCGTTTTCGGCCTCTCGAGGACCCCGCCGGGCCCCAGGACCGTCAAAAAACAACTCAGGATGAAAAACCGGCCCCGGGGAAAGGGTCGGGACTTCTGGGGACGCCGTCCTGAAAAAATCAGGACGTCGCATGTCTGGGAACGCGGCGGCGAGCCCAGCCCCGAGAGCCTGGCGTGGCATATGTGTTTCGGGGCCGGGCGTTTTCTCGCTATTCTGCGGGCGAGGGGAGGCCCTGGCAGATCGGCCCGGCCAGGGAGATGGCGCAGAAAGAAGTTGGGGTCTGGGGTTCCGGGCGTGATTTTTCACGATGTTGCAATTGCTCGCAGCGGCGGATCTCAGGGACCTCGTCTGGGAGCCCAGGGTCAAGCAGTGGCGAGGCGTCCCGGCTTGCCTCGGGTCCCACCACGGAATGTTTTGTTTTGGCTAGCACGGCACGTTCTCATCGCATGTCTGCATGCGGCCGTCTTGTTTTCAGGCGTCGCTAGCATGTTCTGAGAGCCATGTACCTGTAATTGAAGCGTTCTGTCGTTTCAAGAGCCTTCCGTGGCAGGCCTACAGAAATGCCGGGACGGCCCGCCCCTGCCGAACAGGAGGAAAGCAAGAGGGGGCAGGCCTTCTCGGAAGGCGGCGAGGCTTCTCGGAAGCCCTCGCGCTTGGTGAGGAGCGGCCTCTGTCTTCGGAGCAGGCTCGGAACGCGTCTCAGAAGGCCCGAGGCCTCAGCCTTGTGAGAAGTCACCAGCCCCCTCTGCATCCCCCCCCCCGGGCGCTCCGCCGACCAACGTCCCTGGAGATCCAGGCGTTGCGATTGTTGTCACGCCAGCCCGTTTCTGCTTTTTCTGTTCGGGCCCAGGGGCCCTCACGGGTCGATCTGGCGAAAAACATGGTAATTACGGGAAGATATGGTGTCTGTAGGGCTCCAGTCGTGGAAGCAATTCCGATGTTGCAATGTGTGCCGTAACGTCGGATCTGAGGGTCTGGAAGTAAAACAAAACGCAGGCTTTTCGTCGTGTTCGGCGCAGGGGGCCCTCGCTGGGCCCTGGGGACGTCAGGAGACGACCAGGAAAAACGGGTCTCGGGGCAGGGGTCCAGATCTCTGCGGGGCAACGTCGGGAACACACCGCGACGTGGGAGGTCTGGGGGTGCAGCAGGTGCCGCAGCAGCAGCAGAGACTGCAGAAGCTGCCGTCTGGCAGGAGCAAGCTGTGGTGCCACTTCTACTTGGACGAGGGCATGCTCGTCAAGGGCTTCGATCTCGCCAAGAAGATCATCGGCCACGCCGGCGCCGGCACCCGCAGCATCTTCGACGCCACCGGTGCCAAGATCAGGTTCCGAGGCAAGGGCAGCTGTCACCTCGAGGGCAGGTACGAGCGCGAGGCACCGGTGCACCTCATGCTCGCGGTGACCGCTGACCTCGAGGATCGAGGAGCGGGAAATTGCGTAAGCGTAGACTTTCGGAGGTCCGCGCTGCCTAGCTCGCGGATCGCGCCAGGGGCGGCGCCAAAGGAGCCGCCAGGAGGCCCCAGCGCCGATCTGGGAACCCCGCGCGGACCTCCGAGGGGTTCTGTTCATGCCATGTCTTGTTCACCGAGAGGAGGTGGACGGTTTCCGGGAGGCCGTGCGCTTGGCGGCCGGGCACCTGCGCAGCGTGGAGGACAGGTTCTCTCGGAGGAGACACGCATGAGGATGTGTCCACTGTCTTCGGCTTTCCTGTCGGCGGCGAGCGGGGGGGGGGGAAGTGAGATGGAGAGGGCCTTCCGAGAAGGCGGCGGGACTTCTCAGAAGCCCTCACGGCTTCTGAGAGGCCTTCTCTGTCTCTGGGGAAGGGCCAGGGCACTTCCCAGGAAGGCCGGGGGGCTTCCGAGCCTTCTGAGAAGGCCCGCCCCTTCTCGGTCCCGCCCCCCTGGCTCGCCGCCAATGCTGGGCCTCCTTGGGGAGGGGGGGCTCGTCGCCGCGGCTGGCTCGTGTCGGAAGCCTGGCCGGGCCGCACCCCCCGGAGGGGTGAGTCTCGCGGTCCCGTGGGGCCCCGGGCATGCCGGAGGTCCGTGGCTTGTCGGGCGCCGCGCGGGGGCAGGCCCGTGCCTGAGGGCGGGTGGGCTGGGGGGGGGGGGGCGATGGTCGCGCGGCGGCATCCTCCCAGACGTCGGGCGCCTCGGAAAAATCGAGACGGAGGCTTTCAGCGTCTTCGGCTTCTGGGGGGCCCTTGCCGGGCCTCGGGACCGTCGAAAAGCAGCTCGGGGGGAAAACCCGTCCCCGGGAGGTGGCCGAGAGGTCGGGGGCCGTGTCTCGAAAACATCAAGACGCCAGATGTCTGGGCTCGCACGCCTGCGGGACAGCGGGGGCGTGGGACCGCCGTGGGGAACCCGTCAGCGTGTTATTAGCTTTTGTCTGAGGAACACGTGCTTCTTCAACAGCAACGCGCTGATGGGGTCCCCACGGCGGTGTGTTCATAGTTGTGCGGCTGAGGCTGCCACCCTGGTCAAAGTCCACACGGCACCGCTACGAACACTCACCTGGTTGTGGGATCATTCCAGAGTCGGGTGGGTACAGTGGAGGCCCATGCCAAGAAATACCCTGCTTGCCTCCATGGTGCCCTAGGTTTCTTGTGTTTCGATGGTTTCGCTGTGGCGAGCGTGATGTTCTCACAGCAAAATCGATGGCCGTCCTGGGGTCTCAGGGTTGGGTTTCTTGCGGAATGTTTCTTGTGATTGGGCCTCTATTCTGTTGTCGCTCCCCAAGTGTTCTTCCTCTGGGGTTGTTCTCCCGGGGCGCCGTTTTCACAGTTTTGCCGCTGGGGCTGCCACTGGTCAAACTCCACGCGGTAGACCGCTGCGAACACTCCCCCCGTTGTGGGACCTTTCCGGAGGAGGGGGAGAAGGAAGAGGAGGAGGAGGAGGAGGAGGAGGAGGAGGAGCAGGAGGAGGAGGAGGAGGAAGAGGATGAGAAGGAGGAGGAGGAGGAGGAGGAGGAGGAGGAGGAGGAGAGAGGAAGAGGAGGAGGAAGGAGGAGCTAGGAGGAGGAGGAGGAGGAGGAGGAGGAGGAGGAGGAGGAGGAGGAGGAGGAGGAGGAGGAGGAGCAGGAGGAGCAGCAGGAGGAGGAGAAGGAGGAGAAGGAGTCGGGGGGGTTAGTTACGCTCAGGGACTTCGGCTCAGCGTGTCGCTCCGCCGATTCTGGCCCACCACGCTTCGGCTCGACACGCTATCCGCGTCCCCGTTCCCGAACGTCAACGCCCCGAGCTTCGCCCAGTCTCCCGCCCCGCGGAGCGGAGCGAGCCGCTGTCCACTCTCCTTCGCATCGCTCGGACGTGTTCCTATTTTTTCTCGGCGAGAACCATATCGAGGAGCATCCTGGAGCATCGAGCAAAACGAAGCACGCACAAATTCGATAAATCGGCGGCGAGCGAGGGGGGAAGTGAGAAGCAGACGGCCTTCTCAGAAGGTTCGGACGTCCCCCTGGCCCTCTGAGAAGCATCCTAAGCCTTCCCAGAAGACAAACAACAACTTCTCAGAAGGCGCGAGGGCTTCTGAGAAGCCCCGCCGCCGTCTGAGAAGGCCTTCTCCTTCTCACTTCCCCACCTCGCTCGCCGCCGAAAAAATGCAGGGAGAATGGACCACCGCGCATCTCTTCGTTGCCCCCCAGGTTCTGCCACTTCTGCGGCAGGTCGGGCCGCCCGTCGCCCAGGCCCGCGGCGGCCGCCCTCTCCTGCCTCCACCGGGGGGGCACCGGGCCAGAAGAGCAGTTTAACGCCCAGGTCAGCTGTTTCCTCCTCCGCCTCCTCCCCCCCCTCCTCCTCCTCCCCCTCCTCCTCCTCCTCCCCCTCCTCCTCCGTAGCCGTTGGAGGACTACGTCCAGGGACTCCTCCTCCAACTCCTCCGTAGCCGTTCTGGCTCAAGCCGTTCTCGGCCCTGCCTCGGCCGCGCCCGCCCGGCGCTCCGCTGCTGAGTCTCGCTTGGGAGATGGTTGCGGTCCGCCGGCCGCGCTGCCCCCCCCGCGGCAGCCGAGCGGCCCCCCGCCGGAGCTGCGTCTGGCTCGCTCCGGCCCGCGCGCACGGCCCGCTGGGCGGCAGCGCGCGATGCGGACCGTGGCAAGCTGGCCGCCGCCCTGGAGCGCGTGGCCGCCCTCGAGGCCGAGCTCGGCGCGTGCCGAGTGGGCCCTGAGGCGGCGGCGGCCCAGGCGATGCGCCTCGCTGCCCCGCTCGGTCCTCCTGGCCAGCGGGACGCTTTTTGACCCGCAAGGTCGTCGAGCGCCTGGCGCCGGCCGTCCCCGTGCTCGTGGCGGTCCCCACTGGCACACAGCGCGGACGGGAAGGTCCTGCGCTCGACCTGTCCGCGGCAGGCGTCGGCATCGGCCAGGTTGCCTCCCAGTGCGAGCCCCTCGGCGGCTCGCAAGGCGGCACTCCTGGTTCCCCCGCCGCCGCGGGCGCCGCCAGCAGCAGTAGCAGCCTGGCAGGGCCCGCCGTGGTGCAGCAGAACGTTCCCCTGAGCGTGCTCCTCGACGGCGGGTTGCTGGGCGGCACCTCCTCAGACGCCGCGGTGGCTCTTGCATCACCAGCTGCGGACGTGGGCGCACCCTCGACGGTGTGCAGGCGCGCGCCGCCGCTGGCCGCCGCCAGGCGGAATGCTGGCATGCATGGCGCTTCGCGGAGGGGCGCATCCATTGCGTGGATGCGGATGGCCTCGCTGAACCGCCTTCCACGCGGCGTGCGGAGGCCGTCCTCGAGGCGCACGCCGTGCGCGGCGGCCCCTGCAGGGCATCGCCGCGTTCCTGGTGCGCGTGCGGCTGCGGACGCGGTGCACTCGTGCTGGGCCCGTGCGGCTCGCAGTCAAGGTCGCAGCCTGCCCGCCGGTGCTGCCTTCGACCTGGCGGACAAGGTGCGCCGCGCAGGCAGCCCGCGCATCCCTCCCCTCATTTCGGGCGCGCGGTGGTGGAATACGGTTGCTGGGGACGCTGGCCACGTCTCCCCAGCCGCAGACGCCACCCCGGGCCTCGCTGTCGACGTGGTGAAGGCGGACGTCGCGGGCTGCGGGTCCGAGATCTCGCAGCCCGCACGTCCATCAAGATGCTGCTCGGCACGCTGGCGGGGCCTCGGCGTCCTCGTCGAGACGGCGGGCGGCCCCGTCTAGGCCCCCCCCCCTGGCCCGCAAGCCGTCACATCGGAGCCTCCTGGTGGCAGCCTTTCTGCGCAAGCGGATGGTTGCCCGAATGGCGGGTCTTTGGAGGGACCTGCGCCTCGAGGCGCTACGGTTGTGACGGCCTTTGTGCGGCCAGGCCGCGAGGGGCCGCATCTTCTTCCTCGACGCTGTGGACGTGCAGACGCCCCTCTGGAGGCGCACGAGGCGGACGTGCAGTTCGTCCTCGACGACGGCGCCGCCCCCATCGCCGCGTCGGCCCGCGGCGACGGCCTCTCCGACCCGCTCGACGAGAGGAGGGTCACGGGTGGGCGCCGACGGCCCCTGGCCCTCCAGCGCCACTTCTTCCGGACGGCGGCCACGGCGCTGTTCGAGGGCAAGCCGTTCGAGGTCTGGGCCCAGGAGCGCGAGGCGGAGCGCGGGGCGCTGATCTTGGAGCCCAAGCGCGAGCACAGCGACGGCCTCGTCGCCAAGCTCAGGCTTAAGGCCAGGCGCTGGTGAGCTGCAGCGACGTCGGCTCGCGCGACCTGCGCCTCGTTTTCTGGCGCGACGCCCCACGGCGTGGGTTTGGGGGCCGCCGCGTGGGATCGAGCTCGCACTTCGGTGCGAATCTGCATTCCCGTTGTGGTTGGGGCGGCCTGTGGCGGCTGTTGTGGTGCCCGTGTTTGCCCCCGCCGGGGTGGTCTCCGCTTGGTCTTGCTCGTCTGGTGGAGGGGCAAGGTCTGGGTGGAAGCCTGTCTGGGCCCTGTCTGGGTGCCTCCTCGTCGCCTGGCACTCTCACTCGGCGCGCGGCTGCGGCGCCCGCTCGGGACGCAGCGAAGACTTCTGCCAGGGCCGCCAGGGCCTGTTTGATGATGTTCCATCCATCCCTCCTCCTCCTCCTCCTCCTCCTCCTCCTCCTCCTCCTCCTTCTCCTCCTCCTTCTCCCTCTCCTCCCTCCTCCTCCTCCTCCTCCTCCTCCTCCTCCTCCTCCTCCTCCTCCTCCTCCTCCTCCTCCTCCTCCTCCCCCTCCTCCTCCTCTACCTCCTCCTCCCCCTCGTCGTCGTCGTCCTCCTCCTCCTCCTCCTCCTCCTCCTCCTCGCGAAAGCTGCCGCGCGTAGCGACCTGCGGCCTGGGCCCAGCGGGGAGCTAAGTGGATCGCACGGCGTCGCGCCTTGCGCAGCGCAGTCGGCAAGGTGCAGCTCAGGGGAAGCTCAGGGGCAACGCTCGTCGGCGAGCAAGGGTGGGGGGAAGGGGGAAGGAGAAGGCATGCTCAGGAGGCGGCGACTCTGCTCAGGAGCTGTTTTCTGGGCAGTTGTTCTGTGTCTTGGGGTGAAGGCTCGGGAAACTCCTCGGAAGGCCAGGGGTCGTCCGAGCCTTCCGAGAAGGCCCTCCCCCTTGTCAACCTCCCCCCCGGGGCTCGCCGCCGAGACGTCACGGGGGGAGATGTGCTCCGGGGGGGACCACGCCGACCCCGAACCACCCACGGATCGCCGACCGGGGCCCGCCCAGGAACGCCCGGTTTCGCCACCCGGGGGGCTCCTCGCCGACTCTCGGCGAGGTATCGCCGATTTCCGCTGGATGCCCCCCCCCCCCCCCTCGTCCGTTGCGCCCTGTGGCTCCCCTTGAAATCGCCAGCGGGGGGCAACAGGCAGGCGAGCGGACCCTCCCGGAGGCGGAGTGGACATGCAGAGCCGGTCGGCGTTGTGCCGCTTGCGCGGGGCGCGCCAGAGGCGGCGCCGGAGACGCCGCCGGGGGGCTCCAGCGCCGATCCGAGAAATCCGCTCAGAGCTCCGAAAGTTTCGGGGGAGCGTAAGACCCGGGTTTGCCAGGACTCGGGTTCGCAATCGTTTTTTGACGACCTCGACTCGGATTTTGACGAGCAGGAGTTTCGTGGGATGTCTGCAGCGGGAGGCCTCGTCAAAATGCAGGCTCGGCCTCTCGTCATTTTTTTTGGCGACCTCGTCGGGGATTTCCGAGTCCCCTGTGCCCGGGTCTTACGCCCCCCTGAAAGTTGGTAATTCCCCCTATTCGGGGGGGGGGGGGGGGGGGGGGGGCGTGGGTGTTGCAGGCCGCTGCGGCCGCCGTTGGCAGGCCGCGGAGCACAAGTGCACTCCTGCCTAGGGCCACTCCCTGCGCGCCGCCCCGAGCGCGGGGAGCGGGAAGCAACACGCGCGCTCCGATTACGGGGCGTGGAAACGACCACAGCCACTGCTTTTCTTTTGTTGCCGCCGTCCTGCCCGCAGAAAGAAGGCAGTGGTTGTGGTCAGTTTCGCTGAGCTCGGTGCCAAAGAAATGACCACAGCCACTGCTTCTTTTTCGGCCGGCTGGAAGGCGGCGCAAACAAGAAGCAGTGGCTGTGGTCATTTTCCCGTCCCGCACCGATGCGTGGTCGCGTCGCTCCGATGCATAGCGCATCGCTCCTCCCCAGATTCCAGGACTCCGGAGGCCTCTGGAGTGCCCAGAGGCCTTCGCAGGTCCAGGATCAGGAAGACAGATATCGGATTGGGAGATGGGGCTAGGAGAAAGGAGGAGATCCGTACCCGTAGGCGGCCCAAGGTATCGTGCATTACATCCGAAAGCTACTGTTCATGCCCTTCGTCCCCCCAACCCCTTCCTCCCAACACGATAGTTGCTTTCATCAAAGAGCAGGGCCGGGGCCGTAACTCTCGATCCCTCCCTCCTCGGTCTCTACGCGGTCCTCGATGTCAGCCGCTCTCTGTGCAGTGCTGAGTGCTCGGGTTGCCCGAGTGCTGGTCCCCGCGCGCAATGAGAGGCCCTGCTGTGGCCACAGGAGCTGCCAGCAGGCCACGCTGCCGCGCGCCCCCCCTTTCTGCCAGTGGCGCAGGAGAGACGGCGTGCCACGTGGCGCCGCCGGCCCGCTTTAGCACACGCTATTCCCCCCACCTCGGGGATAAACGTGCACCGAAGAGGCGGGTAGCGCGCACGCCACGGGCCCTCGGGAGAGGGGGGGGTCGCCTCACGGGGATGTCTGGGCCCCTCCCCCCCTTCCGCTCATCACACGCTATCCCCCCACCTCGGGGATAGCGTGCACCGAAGAGGTGGACAGCGCGCACACCACGGGCCCTCGGGAGAGGGGGGGGTCGCCTCACGGGGATAGCTGGGCCCCTCCCCCCCCTCCCCCCCCCCCAGTCCAGATCTTGACCCTTTGGCGGCTGCTGTTGGCGACTGGTCGGGACCCCACCACCCCGTCTGCTTGCGCGACTGGCTCAAGCAGATCGACTAAGCATCGGTCCAGACCCAGAACTCCCTCCCTCCCCCACCCTTCGGCCAAACGTCGAACAAAAAAGGCCGGCCGACAGTTCGCTTGGCATCGCTCGGACGTGTGCATCTTCCTGGGCAGGGGCCATCGAGGAGCATGTTTGGTCATCTTGCGAAACAATACACGCACGAAGCCGAACTATATTCACGGGGAATGAACGTCCGAGCGATGCCAAGTTCGGCGGTTCCCCCATCACTCTGCGGGGTGCCGGGGGTTCGGCCGCCTTTGGGGGGGGCGGCGCCGATGTCGCCGCCGCTTCTAGGCCCCGGAGGGTGCTCCCCGCCTGCGCCGAGTCCTGCGAGCAGCGCCGTCAGCCAGAACTTCTGCCCGCGCGCGTGTGCGGTGCGGGTAGATTTGCAGTCGGCAATCGGCCCAATCCCGCTCAGTCGGATTTAATCTGGCTCAATCGGGGTCAATTCGGCGCCTAATACGGCCCCATAGAGCTTACGGGCCCGTCAGTTGGGCCAGATAGCCCTTGGCCGTTCTTGCGAGGGCTTCCCAGGAGAGGCCTCCGCACCACCAGCGCCAACCTCTGGGATCACCTCCCCCCGGCGGAGCCCTGTATTGGTGTTGGTGGCCATTCCCAAGCCTCTGAGCCGTGGCCTTCCTTGTGCCGAGGCCCGGCGCCTGCTTCTGGGTCGGGGAGATCTCCGCGCGCGGCGCGGCGTGCTCGGAGGGCGTCCTCGGCGACCTTGGCCTTGTCGTGCCCGCTCATCCCTGAGCCGCGCCTTCAGCACCGCTCTCGCCCTTTCACCTCAGCGTCCTCCCTCCGCCACCGCTCTCATCCGCTCCCGCACCGCCCTCGCACTTGCACCCCCTCTCCTCCTGCAGCTCCGCCCCCTGCTCTTCCCCCATCCTCCTCCGCCTCCTCCTCCTGCTCCTCCTCTCTCCTCCTCGCCTCCCCGTCCCTCATTTCTGATCCTCCTTCTCCTCCTCCTTCTCCTTCTCCTCCTCCTCCTCCTGCTCCTCCTCCTCATCCTCTTCCTCCTCCTCCTCCTCCTACTGATGATCCCTCCTTCCTATTTTGTTCCCCCTCAGCAGTTATACAGAAAAACAAGTGCACACTATAGGAGTAGTACTCCCCCTCTCTCCCCCGAGGATGGCCCGGGAGTGGCCCGTGGCCCCCCTCTCTGCATTGTCTTTAGAAGCGCACGGACGGTGCCGAGCCGATATTTCTTCAGTGACGTGTTCGCTCCGAAGGCGCCCGCCCGCGCCCTGTCTCCCCAATTAGGGCAACCCGCGTCCCGTTTAGCTCTTGACCCGAAGGGGCCCGCTCCCGACCCGCAGACCAAAATAAGTGTTCACTCTGAAGGTTCCTGGTCCCTCCAGGACGGTGTCCCCGCTGCAGCATGGGCCCGAGTTTGAGCAGGATGGGAGCTTCCCATCCCGCCGTTCGGACTGGGAGTCTCGCCCCGGCGCGGGCCGCTTTCCTGGAACCGAGTCCTTCCTCATCGCCGTCGCGCCCCATTTCCACCCCTCCGCCTGCTCTGTTCCGCCTGTTCCTCCCGTGCCGTCCACTCCACTTCCTTCTGCTGGTGCTGCTGTTCGTCCTCGTGCTCCTCTTTCCTCATCCTCTTTCTTCCCTCCTGCTTATCATTTTGCTCTTTCGACACCCACCTCCTCTCCTCATCCTATGTGCGCAGCTTCCCTCCTCTGATTGTGCGGAACACGATGGGGTCTTCCTTGGAGCTCCAGGTCCGCTATGACACGCGTCCGCAGATAGAGAAATAATCAGTGTCATTTGAAGGTAAGGGTGGGACGCATGTCAGGTATGGCGCGAGCGCACCTCGCTTGTGTCGCTAACTCTCCTTCCCCCATGGGGGTTGGATCCATGTCAGATCTGGTGTGAGCGCGCACCCAGCTTACCTCACCCAGTCTCTCCCCTCCCCTTCCCTCTCCCCGTCCTAGGCCCTCCCTGGTCTCCCCCTTATTGACGGGCCGCCGGGCAGGGGGCGATGAGACAGCGACACAGGGCGGTCGCCCGCAATCGGCAGCGGTGCCCGGTGCACGGCCCGAGCCCCGTGACTCCTCCTCCTCCTCCTCCTCCTCCTCCTCCTCCTCCTCCTCCTCGCCCTCGTCCTCCTCCTCCTCCTCCTCCTCCTCCTCCGCGCCCTCCTCCTTCTACTCCACGCCCTCCTCCTCCGAGCCCTCCTCTTCCTCCTCTTCCGCGCCCTCCTCTTCCTCCATTCCCTTTCCTTTGAAGAACTCCTCCCTGTAGTACCTCGGGCCGTGTTGGCAGGCCAGGCATGTCGCCTGTGACGTCCTCACAACTCACGAACCTGGAGCTCAGGAGTTGCAAGAGCTTCACGGAGGGAGGGCGGGTGGTTTTGAAACGAGGATTGCGCCTTAGCGCCGCGTGCATTTGTTCAGGGAAGAACAAGACGTTCACGGACGCAGGGCGATCCGTTTTCATACTATCGTGCTCGCTTCAGCGCCGCGCGCATCTGTCTAGAGCTATTGCGGGAGCTCCGCGGATGGAGGACGGCTCCTCTTCAAAGTGTGGTTCTCGCTTTAGCGCCGCGCACATTCATCCCGAGCGCTTACAATCAGGAGCGAAAGAAGGACGTACATGTACATGAATCCACGCTGGTTTCGAGAGCGCGCATTGCACAAATGTTCGTATGACGCGGCCGGTCTCGCGAATCGAGGGGCCGCGTTCATGTACATAGCTGGGCGCGTACGTCCTTTGTGGGCTCCCTATACAAGAGGCTCAAAGATCCTCGTGGCTGGCTTCCCAGGTCTGGTGTCCTGGCACGTTGTCGGAATGCCAGGGCGCGCAACAGTCACGTCGAATCGCGGCGTGGAAGCCCCACGAACGGTGTACTGGCACGGTTCAGGATCGCCAGGGCGCAGCAGGAGCGGTGACTCGCGGCGCTGATGTCCCCGGAATGGTGTTCAGACGCAGTCCAGAGTTGTTTACAACAGCTGTGTTCCAACGGGGCATTTCCCTCAGTGAAAATGAATCCTTGTAGGGGCATATATATATGTGTATATATACATATATGTACCTATATATATATATGTATGTTGCAGGGAGGGATTCTTGCAATATCACTGATGCGTCTTGGGTTTACACTGGTCCTCCTCGTCCTCGCCCTCCTCGCTCGCTGGGGAGGGGGAGGAGTATCGAGGACATCGAGCTGTTGTGGCTGCCTTGGTCTCTCCTGGGGGCCTCCCGCGAGGCCTCCCTAGAGGCAACACGCGGAGCCTTCTGGGTCCTCTCCTCCGCTTTCGCTGCTGCTCGTTGATCTGGACTCGTGTCCAATAACGGTGGCCCCCCGTCTCTCCGCATTTGCTGCTCCTCCTTCTCCCCGTCCGTCCTCCTCCTCCTCCTCCTCCTCCTCCTCCTCCTCCTCCGTTCCCTTTCCTTATACATAATTTCTCCCTGTCGCACCCCGATGCCAGTTGTTAGGGCGGGCCGGACGTTTCGCCTGAGGCTTCCTCACCATTTATGACCCTGAAGCTTCAACATTAGCATCAGCTTCACAGATGGAGGGCGGGTCGTGTTCAACATGTCGCTCTCGCTTCAGCGCCGCGCACATTCGCTTTAAACATTTGGAAGAGTTTCACGGCTTGAGGGCGGGTGGTTTTCAAAATGTGGCTCTCGCTTCAGCGCCGCACACTTTCGTTGTATACATTTGCAAGAGCTTAGCGGATCGAGGGCGGGTGGTTTTCAAAGTTTGGCTCTCGCCTTAGCGCTGCGTGCATTCGTTTCTGCAATGTTTGCAAGAGTTTCGCGGATTGAGTGCGGGTCGTTTTCAAAGTGTGACTCTCGCCTTAGCGTTGCGTGCATTTGTTTTGGAAGAAATGTAAGAGTTTCACATATTGAGAGCGGTTCATTTTCAACATGCACGTTTCGAATTAGCGCAAGAGAAACGAACAAATCAAGAGTCTCACGGATTCCCATGATCAACACACCAGAAATGATGCTTTGCAAGGATTCGCGATTATGAGGGCGCAACAGTTATGTTGATTCGCGCGTCCCAGGAATAGCGTTCTGGCACGATTCAGGATCGCCAAAACGCAACAGTCAGGTTGATCTGTGGGGTTGGACTCCCGAGAATAATGTGTTGGCATGCTGCAGGGTCTTCAAACGCTTGTCTTCCATCGAGGTCCTTCAGTGAAAATGAACCGTTGTAGGGGCCTATGAAGAGGGTGCTTGGAGGGAGGGCGTATTCCAACATCGCTGATGATTCTTGGGTTTACGCCAGTCCTCCTCCTCCTCCTCCTCCTCTGCCCCTCATCGCTTGCGCATCCTGCCCGTCTTCGTCCACCTCCACGTCTTGCTCCTCCGCCTCCTCGGCTTCCCCCGGGCGAGCGAGGATCCCGGCCTGCTGCCCAGTCGTGCCCGTCCCCCCGTTCCCTCTCGCCGGGCCCCGCGTGCGCGCTCGAGCCCGTGGCGCGCGCGCGGGAGCGCCGCGGCGCAGATCGACGGCGCGCGGCGCTTTCAAATCGAGCGGCGCCATAGTCGCGCGCGCTCCCCGCTGAGTGCATGCACGGACACCCCGCCTGAGCGACCGCGGCCTCGGCGAAAGCGCATCGCGCCGCCGCAGCGCCCGTGGCGGAGGGGAGTGGGGAGGCGGTGCGGAACGAGCAGGGCCGCTTGTATCATGTAGCTCCTTGGCCACGGTACGCACTACCGCTCCTGCTCACGGAGCGGTGTTTGTTGTGGGGCTTGTGTAAGCTCGTTGGAAGGCTTGCCCGCTGCGGCAAAGGTCAACTTGGTGGGTTGCGAGGTGTTCGGTACAACTTGTGTCGCCACCTACGTCGTGACCCACGGTGTAATGGTGCATCCACTGAGGCAACGGACGCTATGGTGGCTTCCGGGATGCCTGGCACAACTTGTTGCGCAATGCATTCCGCAACAGTCGACCCCCCTGAGGAAACGGACGATGTGGTGGATTTCGGGGTGCCTGGCGCATTTGTGGCGCAATGTTATATCCACTGAGTATACGGACCATGTGGTGGGTTGGCAAGTGCAGGATGGCGCATCCGATGGCGCAATGGTTTGCCTACTGAGGCAACTGAAGACGTGATGGGTTGCGGGTTGTTTGGCGCAATCGATTGCGCAACCTAAGGCGCAATGGCACACCTCCGAGGCAAAGGACGGCCTGGTGGCTTGCGCGGTACATGGCGTAACTTAGTGCGCAACCGACGTCGACATTCCCAAATCAGTGCTTGCACTGAAGGGGTCTTAGCAGAGATTGAAAGATTTTGAGAAAGTGCCAGGCCGATTTCGGCGGGCGGCCAGGTTCCCAGGTTCCTGGTTTCGGGTTCGCAGGTTCCAGGTGCCAGGTTCCGGGCCGATTTCGGTGGGCAGCGGTGTTCCCGGTCTCCCAGGTTCCTGGTTGATCTTCTCATCGATCGGTCTTACCATCGATCTCATTACCCATTTCTTCATCGATCTCTCTTCGATCTTTTGATCGATCTCACAATCAATCTCACTATAGATTGCACGAGCGATCTCACGATCGATCGCTCTATCGACCTCATTGAATCGATTTCACGATCGGTCTCACGATCGACAATACAATCGTCCTCATTATCGATTCCACTATCGATCTCACTATCGGTCTCTCAATGGCTCTCAATATCCATATCACTAATGTTCCAACCATCCACTGGTAGGTTTTTTTCTCTGATGTAATTTTTCTTCATCTGAGACGAAATACGGTTTGGTGCATTGCGAAGTGCCTGGCGCAACAGATGACGTATCCCATGGCTCAATTAATGGTACACCCGTTGGGGCAATGGGCGATTTGGGTGCTTGCGAGGAACCCACTGCGCAGCTGGTAGCGCAATGAAGCGCCCGTTTAGGCAGCTAACGACTTGGTGACTTTAAGGGTTGCCTGGCGTAACATTGGGTGCGTCCTGCGGGGCAATGGCACACCCAGTGAGGCAAAAACGTCTCAGTGGATTGCGGGGTGCCTGGCGCAGCTTGTTTGTGGCGCATCTTCTGGCGCAATGGTGCACCCACTACTTGACGATGTTGAACCGTGTGGCGCAACTTCTGGCGCAATGGTGCACTCATTGAGGCAACGAACGATTTGTTAGGCCGAGGGTCGTCTGGCGCAGACCGTGGCACAATGGTGCACCCACTGAGGCAACGGACGATCCGAGTATCGGCGGAATGCTGGCGCAAAGTATGGCACGACCTGGTTGCGCAGCCTGCGGCAAGTGCTGTTCAGGGTCTCACGGCGGGTGCACTTAGATTGCAGTAGGCACTCCAGAGAAGAAGTTGGTCTGCCAACGGCTGCCCCACGAGAGTTTCTCATCTTCCAGTGGGTCCGCAGAGCCTTGAGGCACCTTCCGAAGCGCAGAGTGGACGAAGGATGTGGTCCCAGATTTCCTATAGCATTCTGTATGTCAAGGAGCTATCTTCTGTGAGGCGCTTCCTCTGGAGCAGCGAGCCCGAAGACGGGTGAGGAGGTGTGGGGGTTGAGCGGAGGGGGGCGGAGGATCGGGTCTTGCTAGGAGTGGTCCTGGTCCCTCGCGCCACTTTGGAGCCTCTCTGGAGCCCTCTGGGCCTTGCGAAGGGGGCGCCCTGGAGGCCACCGGGGCCTCCCTGGAAAGCCTGGGGCAGCCTGGAAGCCAGGGACACCCCTGGCGTCACCCGAGAGGATCGCGGAGAGGGGGGCCGAACGATGATGGGCCAATTATCCACCACCATTGCCGTAGGTAGAACGGGGGAGAGGGGAGGATTGGGAGGTCCTCCAACTCCTCCTCCTCCTATGCCTCCTCCTCCTCCTCCTTCTCCTCCTCCTCCTCCTCCTCCTCCTCCTCCTCCTTCTCCTACTACCTATGGCAGTGGTGGTGGGGAATCGGTCCATCGAACGATGGCGGAGGTCGGAGCGAACTCGGGGAGCCGCGGGGAGCACGAGGAGCAGGAGTAGCAGGAAGCAGAGGCGGAGGAGGAGGAAGAAGAAGAGGAGAAGGGGGAGGAAACGGAGGAGGAGGAGGAGGAGGAGGAGGAGGAGGAGGAGGAGCCTCGGCCGAGGCCCATGCCCGGGGACCGGCGGCTCGTCCCGAGCTGTGTGTTCTGCCGGTCCTGGGGGGGCCTTTTTGCGAGGGCCCTTCGCGGAGGCCGAGAGCGGGGAGCAACATCCCGCTGTGATCTGCAGTCACGACACGAGGAGGTCTGGGGCGTCGATGATGTTGGACACGTTGGGGGCTTTTTTGGGGGGGCAATGTTCAGGATCTGCGTTTCTGTTGTTAATTCTGGGGTCCGTTGATTTCTGGTTTGAGGCTCTCATTCGCACTATGTTCGATTCGGTTCCGTGCTGTGTTGCCGCGTTGCTTCTGTATTGGGCTGCCGCCTGTTCGTCTCTCGTTCCGGTGGGCCGTAAACCTAAAAGCTGCCAGCGGAAAGAAACGGCCCCCCAGCGCTCCCAACATCAGCACAGGTCCAGGGCATGGGGCGGGGTGGGGGGTCGCGGGGACTGAGGGAGGGAGGAGGTCACGGGGAGTAGGGAGCCCTGACCTTCCAGAGAGCTATTTTTTAGCACTGGAGACCTAAAAACCTAAAAAGCTGAGCGAAACAGCCTAAAACCAAGACGTAGAATAGCTCTGGGAGAGGTTTTTAAGTCGGGTGCTATTTTTTAGCCCTCCTGGAAGGTCAGGGAGTGGGGGGGGGTCACCTGGAGAGGACTGGGGAGTGGGAGGGGGGGGGGGCCGCGGGGACCCAGGCTCGGGCCGAGGGGGCCCGCCGCGGCGCCCGCGGCGCCCAGGAGAGCCCCCGCGCGGCGCAGCAGCGGCGACGCGCACGCGGCGCCGCCGCGGCACCGCCGCGGCGGGAAGGCCCGCGGCGCGGCGCCCGCGGGGGCCAGCGGGCGGCGGGCGCCCACGGCCGAGGCGCGCCGCGGCTGCTGCCGCCACGGCACGGCCGAGAGGGCCCAGACCGGCGCCCGCCCCGCCGGCCGGCCCACCGGCTGTGGCACGTTGGCGGCGACAGCCGGGCCCGACGACCCTCGCCGAGCATCGAATCGGGCCCATCTCGGCGGGCGGCGGGGGCACGGCGGGTGGACTGCAGGCGTCCACGCGTGCCTCGCCGGGAGCTCGAGCTCTCGGAGCACAGCGTGCCAAAATGCAGACCCCGCTGTGCCCCCCAGTTTGAAGTGGACGGGCTGGGGCGGCAGGCCGCCGACGGCCAGGGACAGCATGTGGACACGTCAACTTTGGGTTCGGGGGGGAGGGGTGCGAAGCACGGGCATTCTGCAGTTGTGGTCTTTGTCATGCTGCATCGCCTTACCGCCAGGGGTGTGGGCACTTTTTGCCCGGGCACCGTCGGGCTCGCAGTGCGGCGAGCACGCGGCCAAAGCTCGAAGACTACCCCCGCTTCGCATCGAGTCAGGAAAGTCCATGGTTGGCGGGGGCAGGGTTCGGATGTCGCCACCTGACACTCGATCCATTTCTCCATCCCCTAGCGCCAACGTCTCGAGCGTTTCCCAACCTCCCGCTCCGCGGAGCGGAGCGACACGCTGCCCGCTCGCAAGGGATAGCGTGTCGCCGTGGCCGCCGCGGCGACACACGAATCAAACGTGCCAGACCGTAGGCCTCCCAGATAGGGTCCGAGCAGGGCAGAGGATCGCGCCGCATCGACGTTGCGTCGCCCGCCGATCATGATGCGGCTCGAGCAGTACGGTATAGCTCGATCTTGTCCACGCCGACGTCGCCGAAGCACCACCGGCGTTGCCGACGTCGGGGGTCGGCTGTCCGGGGCCGCGGGGCCCGGCCGGCGCCCGCCGTGCCTGCCGGGGGGGGGGTGGCGCGCCCTGCGGCGGGGCGGGGCGGGCTTCTGCTCCGGCGAGCCCGCAGCGCCCGTGGCAGGGGTTCCCCCGCCCTCCCCCCTCCTCCTCCTCCTCCTCCTCCTCCTCCTCCTCCTCCTCCTCCTCCTCCTCCTCCTCCTCCTCCTCCTCCTCCTCCTCCTCCTCCTCCTCCTCATCCTCCTGGGGGGGGTCCTCCACAGGCATAGCGCGCGCGGTGCTCCAAGGCACGCTGCGTGGTGCTGGCAGGCATGCTCTGGTGCTCACGAGCACGCCGTGGCGCTCGCAGGCCCGGCCTATCCCCCCCCCCTCCCCCCCTTTATAACGGACGTTACAGCGGGGGAGTCTTCCACAATCTCGAGGCGCTTCGACTGCATCTGCGGCCGTCCATTCTGTTCGCGTCACACTGGCTCTGTACTGGAGCGGCGGTGCTGACCAACATGGGATCACACAGCCCCGTTGGGTCAGGGAGCCAATGTAGGGTCACATCCGCCCCCCATCGGGCTCCCGAAGGCTCCCCCCGAGGGCCCCCCGAGAGGGGTCACGCAGCATGCCCGCCAACACGGGTGTGTGACAGCCGCAAGTTGGCAACGCCATAACATGGATGCGGCCATCGCGAGTTCCAGAACAGCAGCGGACTTCGTGTTCGGTCCAGGATTGCCCAATGCACACGTCTGCAGCAGCTGACTACTATCAATTGAACTTGTGCTCGGAACGTGCGTTCTGCACTGGAGGAGAAAAGGATACCGACTCCGCTTTCCGCCCTGGGGAGCCC